CCTGTTGGGATGAGCACTGGGTGTTGTATGGAAACCAATTTGACAATAAATTTCATATTTAAAAAATAGTAAAAAAATAAAAAATCTTTTAATAAAAAGATAATCTATTCGATTATTTTGAGATACAGAAAGAGAGAGAGTGTGCAAGTGGGAAGGGTTCAGAGAAACAGAGGGTGAAAGAATTCCAATCCCAGTGCAGAGCCCGATGCAGGCTTGGACTCAAGTACCGCAAGATCATGACTGGAGCCAAAGTTGGATGCTTAACCAACTGAGACACCCAGGTGCCCCTGTCCAAATTTTTTCTTTAAAACCACCAGTTATTAGGGGCGCCTGGGTGGTTCAGTTGGTTGAGTGTCTGACTTCGTTTCAGGTCATGATCTCATAAGTTCGTGAGTTCGAGCCCTGCATTGGGCTCTATACTGACAGCTCGGAGCCTGGAGCCTGCTTCAGATTCTGTGTCTCAGTCTCTCTCTCTCTGCCCCTCCCTGGCTCGTGTGCTCTCTCTCTTTCTCAAAAATAAATAAACATTAAAAAAGAACAACAAGCAGTAGTTACTAAATACCAATGACTGTTATTAACTCTTACTCTAAACCCAGCTGAGAATCTTACCAGATATATACTGTGCAGGGTTACTACTAAAGCGATCATCCACAAGAATAAGAGCTCCCCAATCATTTTTGTGTCGAATACACCTATAAAAAAAATAGGGAGAAAAATCAAACAGAAATAACTTTGAAAATAAAAGCCAGACTTCTTGTGAGATAGAAGATTGAGAAAAATCAGTGATGTCAGTAGTATATTCCTCTAAGCCTTATCATAAGCAAGATTATAGAAACAACTCAATACAATGTACTAAAGTAGGTATATTAAAAATCTCCTAATTTTGTCAACTCTTGATAACTTACATCAAAAAATGTTTATATGCATTCTATTTTGAAAGCCAAAAATTTATAGAAAATATTTACAAACCCTTACTTAGCTAAACAAATTATTTTTTTTTTACCTTCAATGTCATTTTAGTTGTAGAATTTATGTAGATAAACTTTGTTCTAGTTTAATGAGTTTTTATCATGAATGAATGTTTAATTTGTAAAACAAACAACAAACTTGGGAAGAACCAATTGATTTGATCATGTAGTTTTTCTCCTTTAAACTGTTAACATGGTAGATCACACAGGCAAAATTTCAAATACAGACCCAGACTTTCATTCCTAAGATAACCACATGTTGTTATGGTGTATATTCTTTTTACAGATTGTTGAATTTGGTTTGCTAAAATATTTTTTAATTTTAAAAATTATTTAAAAAATTTTGAAGTGTGTAATTCAGTGACTTTTAGTACATTTACAAAGTTGTGCAACCTACACCACTATCTATCACACAACATTTTTATCTCACCCAAAAGAAACCCAGTGTCAATCAGTCACTCTCTTTATCCAATTATTCCCCCTATTCCCTGGAAACCACTAACATACTTTCTATCTCTATAATTTGCCTATTTTGAAATTTTCATATAACCGGAATCATGCAACATACAACATGATTCTTTCAGTTAACATGATGTTTTTTCAAGGCTACTTGTTATCACATGTATCCGTACTTTATTCCTCTTTTTAGCTGAATAACATTCCATTGCATTTATCCATTCATAAGTAAATGTGCATCTGGGTTGTTTTCACCTTTTGACTATTATGAATAATGCTGCTATGAACATTTGGGTACAAGTTTTCATATGAATCCAACCAGAAGTGGAATTGCTGGGCTGTACAGTAATTCAATGTTAACTTTTTGAGGAACACTTTTGTCTGAAGCAGTTGCACAATTTTACATTCCTGCCAGCATTGTGTGAGATTTCCAATTTCTCCATATCCTCACCAGCACTTGTTATTATCCATCTTCTTCATTAAATGTACTCTAGGAAGTGTGAAGTGGCATTTCACTGTGGTTTTGATTTGCATTTCCCTAGTAACTAGTGATGTTGAACATATTTTCATGTGCATACTGGCTGCTTGTGTATCTCTTTTGGAGAAATGTCTACTAAAAGTATTGGTCCATTTTTAAATCGCATTATTTGTCTTTTCATTGTTGAATTATAAGAGTTCTTTATATATTCTGGATACTACACCCTTAGACATATGATTTGCAAACATTTTCTCACATGTGTGCGTTCTATTTTTTAGCATTGTTCTTTGAAGAACAAAAGTTTTAACAAAGTTAAACAAAAGTTTGACAAAGCCCAATTTATCTAATTTTTAAAGTTGTTTGTGCTGTTGATGTCATATTTAAGAAACCATTGACTACCAGGGTGCTTGGATGACTCAGGCGGTTAAGTGTCCAACTTCGGCTCAGGTCATGATCTCGAGGTTCTTGAGTTTGAGCCCCACACTGGGATCTGTGCTGACAGCTCAGAGCCTGGAGCCTGCTTCAGATTCCATGTCTCCTTCTCTCTCTGCCCCTCCCCCACTCATACTCTTTCTCAAAAATAAAATAAACATTAAAAAAAAAAAAAGAAAGAAAGAAAGAAATCATTTCCTAGGGGCAACTGGGTGGCTTAGTAGGTTGAGCGTCTGACTCTCGGTTTCGACTCAGGTCATGATCTCTCAGTTAGTGAGCCCTGTATTGGGCTCTGCTCTGATAGCACAGAGCCTGCTTGGGATTCTCTCTCCCTCTCTCTTTGCCCTTCCCCTGCTCATGCTCTCTCCCTCTCAAAATAGTCATTTAAAAAAAAAAAAAAAAGCAAGAAACCATTGCCTAATCCAAGGAGTCTAAGAAGACTTACACCTTGTTAGTCTTTCACCCATCTTGAGTTACCTTTTGTATATGGTGTGGGGGTAGAGGACTAGTTTCATTCTTTTATATGGATATGCAGTTATCCTAGCACCATCTGTTAAAGACTATTTTTTCCCCCATTGGATTGTCTTAGCACTTTTTAGGAGGGCATGGTGGCTTAAACAACAGGGATTTATTTCTCACAGTTCTTGAGGCTAGGAAGAACAGATAGAGGTGCAAACTGATTTAGTTCCCTGGTGAAGGCTCTTCTCTTGGCTTACAGATGTCAGCCATCTTACTGTGTCCTCACATGGGTGGGGGTGGAAGGAGGGAGAAGTAAAGGAGAGAAAGAATCAAGTCCTCTGATGTCTGTTCTTATAAGGGCGCTAATCCCATCATGAGGGCCCTGCTCACAGGACCTCATCTAAACCTAATTACATTCCATAGGCCTCATCTCCAAATAGCATTATGTAGGGGATAAGGGCTTCAACATATGAATTTGAAGGAGGCACAATTCAGTCCATGGAGGTAAGAAAATCATATGATATATGAAAAGATGCTAAGTGCTAGGGAAGAAAAACAAAAAGGGAAACAGAAGAGGGAATATTGGCAGAGGGTGCTAAATTTTAAATAGGGTGATTTTTGAGCACCTGAGAAAACATTACTTGAACAAAGATTCTTCACAGGTCAGGGAATGACCTGTGTGTATATCTGGAAGGGAAGTGTCTAGCAGAGAGAAATGCAAGGGCAAAGTCTCTGCAGCAAGAGCTTACCTGACATGGTCAGGAAACAGCATGGAGCACAGTATACCTTCTATGATGTACCCTCTTCTCTCCCTTTAGGTGTAGGGTCTTTCTGGGGTATATAGGATGATTTGGTAGTTATCTAGCTGTGTTCATGGGACATGAGGAGCCTAGGGTCCTCCTACTCCACCACCATCTTCCTCTCCCTCTGTCTTGGCACTAATAAGCTCACTGTAAACATGGAGGTTAGTTTCTGGACTTTCAATTCTACCCCCTGTCCTACATGTCTATATTATCCCAGTACAACACAAGTCTCAATTATTGTAGCACTGCAATAAGTTTGAAATCGAGAATGGTCAGTTCTCCAATTTTGTTCTTCTTTTTCAAAATTTTTGTGAGTATTCTGGATTTCTTTCAATTTCCATATAAATTTTAAGATCAGCTTCTCAATTTCTGCAAGAAATCCAGCTGGGATTTTGGCTGGGATTGAACTGAATCTCTACAGATCATTCTGGGGGATGCTGCGATCTTTACAGTAAGTCTTCCAATCCATCATCACAGAATTCTTCCATTTATTTAGAAATTTCTTTCAACAATGTTTTGTAGCTTTCAGTGTACAGGTCTTGCACTTCTTTTGTTACAGTTACTCCTAAGTATCTTTTGACGTTATTGCAAATGAAAAAATATTTATTTTTATTGAAGTACATAGTTGACACACAGTGTTACATGAGTTTCAGGTTTACAACATAGTGATCTGACAAGTCTACACATTATACTATGCTTACAACAAATGTAGCTACCATTTGTCACAACACTATTACAGTATGCAAATAGAGTTTATTAATTTCATTTTTGGATTATTCACTCCCATTGTATAATGTGATGGATTTTTGTATATTTTTGTATACTTTTGTAACTTACTGAACTTGTTTATTAGCTCTATTAGTTATAGTTTATGGATATAAATTTCCATGTAGAATATCATGTCATTTGCAAATTTTAAAATAATTTTACTTCTTTTCCAATCCAAATTAATTTTTCTTCTTTTTTTCTTGCCTAATTGCCCTGTGTAGAACCTCTAATACAATACTAAATATAAGTGGTGAGAGTGGACATCCTTATCCTGTTATCAAACATAGGGGCAAAGTTTCAGTCTTTCTTTTTTTAATGAATGTAATTTATTGTCAAATTGGCTTACATACAACACCCAGTGCTCACCCCAACAAGTGCCCTCCTCAATGCCCATCACCCATTTTCCCTTCTCCCCCAAGCCCCAATCCACCCTGTTTGTTCTCTGTATTTAAGAGTCTCTTGTGGTTTGCCTCCCTCCCTTTCTGTTTGTAACTATTTTTTCTCCCTTCCTTTCCCCCATGGTCTTCTGTTAAACTTCTCAAGATCTACATATGAGTGAAAATGTGTATCTGTCCTTCTCTGTCAGTCTTTTATCATTAAGATGTTAACTACAGGTTTGCCATAGACGCTCTTCTATTTCTGCTTTGAGGGTTTTATCATGAAAATGTGTTGGATATTGTCAAACGTTTTCCTCATCTTGAGAAGATGTATTTTATTCTACTTAATCTATTACATTGATTGATTTTAGTTGGACCAACAAAATTGGCTGGATGTTGAATCAACCTTGCATTCCCAGGATAAATTCCGCTTGGTCATTGTGTATAATCCTTTTAGTAAGTTGCTGGATTCAGTTTTCTACTTTCTCTGTTGAGGATTTTTGCATCTATACCCATAAAAGATAATGCTGTGTTTTCTTGTGACGTCTTCGGTTTTGGTAACAGGCAATACTGGCCTCATAGACTAAGTTGGTATATGTTTGTCCTTCAATTTTTCATAAGAGTTTGTAAAATACTGGTGTTAATTCTTTAAATATTTGCTAGAATTCATCAGTGAAGCCATTTGGTCCTGGGCTTTTCTTTGTGGGAAGTTTTCTGATTACTTACTATCTCTTTACTTTTACAGACCTATTCATATCTATTGTATCAGTTGCAGTAGCTTATGTTTTCCTATGAATTTGCCCATCCTTAAGTTATAAAATTTGCTGTCATCCACTGTTCAAGGTGTTCTTTTATAATGCTTTATGTTTTTGTTAAGGTTGGTAGTTACATCCCCTCTTTCATTCCTAATTTTAGTAATTTAAGTTCTTTCTGTTATTTTCTCTTGGTCAG